TTTCCAGTAGAAAAGTCGTCAGAATATTCAGAAAATTTCATTTCTTTACATAAATTTACGTAATTAATTTTCGCACAATTACTTCGTGTTCTATTTCTTGTAAAATTGCGTGTCACTTCCTTCACTAGTCCATATTGCATATAAAAACGAACATCAAATGGTAAACACGTTCTAGTTTCGAATAAGAATTGTTCATAGTAATCTATGCAAATATTAATAATAAAAAGTTCTTTAAGATAAGGATATTTAATGATTGATCAATTTTTTGATTTTCTAAATGGTTTATTAATTTGCCGTTTTTGGTTACGTACAGTTAATTCTTCCATGAATGGAAATGATTGAGCAATTCGAAGGAATAATTCATGTTCAGAAGGGCGTTCATCAAATAATGATACTTTACGAACATATTTAAATATTCCACCTGGAAAATTATTCGTTATATCATCGTAATATTTCCATTTATATGAATATGAATAAATACGACAATGACCTTTCATTCTTTTTAGAAAATAATCAGCCCAATAGATAATTTGTGTATCATTAAAATCTCTAAATATCTTTTGAATATCTTCATTTGATGGTAAATTAATTTCATTATAAAAACTACTTAATGAACGAATATAAAATGTGAATTTGGGTGTGGGCAGTTTTACTTCTTCACCTTCACCCACATGCACAACCACACCCACGCCCATACCCACCCACACCTACCCTGTCCATACGCATTCTCGTACTCACATCTACTGTTGATGAAAAACGAGACACTAACGAATAAATGCTTAGTCAAAACATTGTTGTTATGTCCACCATAACGCAGATTAAAGCAAATGAAATAACATGACACTTTCACAACTTATATAACAAAATCTCTTCATTGATTGAGAAGATTGGATCAAAAAAGTGGAGGATTCCGATCCCTTTCCACTCCTTATGGAAAATTTTTCTACGCATCTGGATGCAATAATGAAGGGCTCATGAGAACGGTCATATATTTGCAGTCATTAAATATAGTGCTTAGTCGATTGCAAGCTTCACTCATTGTTGACAAATATGTACTTTTGTTAGGAAAATATCAATGAACTGACACCAATGATCCACAACTAATTCGAGTGATTTCCAAGACCAAGAGTTGTAAGACAAATATATTAAGAGAAATTTTGTAGAACTAGTTCTGGTGAGGAAGTGGGTGTGGGTGTATTGATGTGGGTGAGAAGAAGATCCACACCCACACCCTCATCAATTGGCTGTGTCACACAAAAGCATTGATAATGTTCACGATTCTCTCGGTCAATATGTTCTGATACTGGAATATTACAATCTGTTGTTCAAAATTTCGCAAAAACCCAGTAATTACATTGATGCTCAAGGCTACAGATCGCATTGATGAGTAAGAGGGCAAGTGAAGATCAGCACAATTATATTAGTATATAGTAACCAACATCTATTGTTGTATACTCTCGAAAACATTTCGGTACTGTCAAAATTGATCCTAATAATCTACATGTCTCATTTCAACTCAAATAATACCATCTTTATTGCATTCTCACTAAGTAGATGTATTATTGAGTCTTGATAAATATCAAGTCATGAAACAATGTTCTCTGACATGTTTTTGCAAGTTTTTATTCAACTATATTTGTTTTTAAGTTCAATAGTTTCAATTTTTCTCATTAAAAGCAAAATTTAGGCATTGTTTCTCGTTATATTTGGGCAACTGTATAATCGATAAACACACCGTAATAGGTAAACACAGATGGACTTTGAAACTTCAAGATCACCTGATAGTTGGAATCCGAGTATTGAACGAGTTTTCTTTCTGTCGTTGTTACTTCGATTTCTTGATTATTGATGATTCTATAAACATGTGAGACGGGACCCATCATACCTTCGTTGTCAATAAAGATCGCGTAGTCTTGCTGTTTATCTGTGAATGGTGTTTCAATAATCATTGTTAAATTTTCAACAGGATTAGACCAGGATAGATGGAACGTAGTACATTTGGAAATACTAGTGTTGGCCAAATTGAGTTTTGATGAGTTACAGTAACCTTGAATGGTGACTGTACGCCAGCATGGGCTTGAATCATAGGACCAAAGTTCAGCTTCACATGACTTGTGGATGTTGTTGTTGTCTGTAACAGGCACACCTAGAACAATTGGTTTCATCACCACTGTCACTAACAGAACAACAAAGAAAAGAATAGATTCCATAGTATGTCAATGAAACGCTAGAAAAATCTTGACCTATTTATATGCGAGAGTCGATATACACATGCAGAGAGAATAATGAAAGAGAATGACAATACAAAAAACAAGAGAGAGCAGGTGCTAAGGATTTGATGTACACAAAGAAAGAATAATCAAATTACAAAAAAGTGATCGACTATTTCCCTTATCATCATTATCAGCATTTCAAGGCTAATGTCGATTTGTATATTTCTTTTTGTATAGATTTTGAATCTTTCTTCAAAATCAGTTTCTCTTGTGAATGAATAAGGGTGGGTGTTGGTGTGGGTGTGAAGATAAGATATGTCCACACCCACACCGAAACCCACATCTCACCCCACACCCACCCCCACACCGAAACCGACATCTCACCCCACACCCACACCCACACCCACCCACACCCTTTTATTCGTTTCATCATATGAATATGATCAGTCGTGTTGGTACCCCAAGATACAGAATGCAAAATGGTACTATTCTCGGAAGGAGTATATAATGAGTTTTATACCAAATGAAAAATCCGTCAAAAATGGAATTTATTGGTACTGATTAGAAAGGATTTTGTAAACTTTGTAATGTCGAACTCAAAAAATTTTATATATCAGAAAATACTAAAATACTCACTTCTTCTCTATGAAAGAAAAAACACTAGATTTTCCCATAAAACTAGTTTTGTTTGATTATCTTCACTACCTCCCATCTTTCGAAATATATTCGATAGATGCAGCGTAAAAAACTGAATCGAATAAGTGTATCTCAAAATATGTTAGGTAGTAGAAATAATAAAAAAAATGCTAATATTATGGGTAAATCTAGTGTTTTTTCTTTCATAGAGAAGAAGCGAGTATTTTAGTATTTTCTTATAAATAAAATTTTTTAAGTTCGACATTTCAAAGTCTACAAATTACTTCCTAATCAGTACAAATAAATCCTATTTTTGACGGATTTTCATTTGGTATAACATTCGTTATATACTCCTTCCGAGAATAGTACCATTTTGTATTCTGTATCTTGGGGTACCAACACGACTAATGACGTCAATATATTATGTTATCATAATCATTACACAAATATGTTTCGATATCTATATTGTGTATTTTTAATGAGCTGACTTTTTTCGACTAATAGAACTGAAATTTAAGTGATTATTTATGATTGTGATTTCTGCAATAGTACCTCAAAATAATGACTTTTCCCTCCCATCCAAAAAATTTTTCTAATTTTATGAAGTATTTCTATAGTATAGTTTCATTTGCCTTTGATAGAAGAAATTTTACTGTGTTCATTTTTCATGTTTAACGTTAAAATGGTCAATGCTTATTGCTGGTATAAAGAGTCATAAATACTTCTCTCTACATCTGACTTTTCGCATACCGAAAACTGTAACAGCTGTACATATTTAAAAAAGATTTCATAGCTGATACGATCATCATATTTCAGCAGATCGTTTTCTTTTCAAATAACATCTTAAATCTATTATTTATAAATTCACATTGACTAGTGCATACTTTAAAGTTTCTTCTATTGAGAAAAATTAAAATAACTATAGAAGACGGATTTGATTGTCTTCTTTTAAGATTACAAAAACATGGTATGTGATGAAAGTCAAAAGTCTTCGTTTCAATATTGAATTATACAAGTAATTACTAGGTAGAAATAAGAACTTAATCATTTCTCATATTAGTCGAAGTAAAATAGCATCTTCAATCAGACACAAATACAATATTAAAATAATTTTACGTTATGATTTAATAGGTTGTGTGTTTATCGTTTTTTTTCTGTCTGTATCAGGTATATCTGAACAACTTTTTATTAAAAGTGATTAATAAATAACATAAAAACAAACACGATGCTTTAAAATATTTCTTATCCACATTAAAAAACTATTTGGGAAAACCAAATGAATATTTGTTGTATATGAGACATGTTCGAAACCTAACATTTACCCATGAATTAATAGACTGGAATAAACATTAGCCATCTAGAAAAAAACCTTTAGTACCTAAAAACCGCGATTATACCTGTGATCAAAGAATACTGTGATTTCTGATAGATGATTAGTTCTCAAAAAATGTTTTAAGCTTGCCATTGACACGTTATAAAGTTCTCCATTTTCCTAATTCATAATATCTGAACTGATTCTTCTTTGAAAAGACTCATCAAAATAAGTGCTGAGATCCTTTCTAAAATTAAGAATTATTAATTAAATGAAAAGAGAGTATAGCGAATATTTTATACCTAAACATAATATTAACATTATGATGTTGCTTATGTAAATTATCATACAGAAATTTGATAATTTATTTTAATTTATGTTCGATAAATTACGAAAAGAAAAAAAAATTATATTTATAATAAATATAAATTTCTCATAATTTATATTTATTGTAAAGTAAACGGTAAATGACATCACTAATCTTTTGAATAGATACCAAATTTTACTCTACTCTTCCAAGTCTGCCCTCTTGCATGACCTGACATCTTTTGATCACTCGTAGTATTAGTCACAACAACTCTCTGTTATGAACTATTGATATTGTTTGGTGTGTTTTGTTAAAAAATGCGCTAGGATAATGCGTAAGTATCACTTGTTGACGTAGTTTTAGCTTTCATGAGACGTGATCTCGGCAAAATAATATATTATATCGAGTACATTGGTTTTGTACAGCTCTTATAGAATTACATTGCCATTCTATGAAAATGTCTCTATTGCATAAAAGTACTTCTTATGACTCATTCGTTTATCAATACATTCAAATACAGTGTTTTTTCTTTTTTCTATTCAGTTCTGATATGTTCTTTTATCTTTATGTGATTTTATGGAACTTTTCATTCATCATAGTTGATCATTCACCTAGTCATCTATTCGAATGATCGTATGATTTTTCTTTTCTGTCATAGTAGTAACCGATTCTCTTGATATCTTGCTCATTTATATTAATGTATAGCATAACATTTTCAACTTATCACATTTTTTCCTTGTATAGTTAATTAAGATAGAATATAATCAACAGATCGATATCTACAGACAAATAAGCAAATATAGGGCAGTCTTTTAATTTTTAGTGCTTACATTGAAATTTTGATTCTGACATGGGTAATCCATGTATATCTGAAGCGAATGAACATTATCAATAATGTCAATCTTTTGTCTTTCTTTTCGTTGTCTGAAGTCAAATAGGATTTTTTGAACATGCAGTTAGAATGAGCTTTCAGCGTAGATCCTGAATAGATGTTTGTAATTTTTCCAAACTATGTTTTAATCGGCGAAAAATGAAGGGATCTTTTTCGGGGAACTTTTGTGTCACCCGTAACTATTAGTAAGTGTTGATTGTATATACGATTTTTTACAAGTTTTCTATTCGTTTAAATTTTTATTTATTTTGGCCACTCTCAAAATCAGACAGACATTGAGGATATATTTTTAAAGAGTAACCTCTATGTTATCACCAGATATGGGCAGCTCCGACACTGCCAACTCCACACAACTCCATTCCGCTTTTCCCAAATCCCACTTCAACTTCAACTCCTCGATTATTTCAGCTTCAACTTTAGTTTTTTTGAAAACCTACCTAGAATAGCACCGTAAAAAACATGCTGCACTCGATCTTGTGTTAAAACATTGAACCCTTTTGCAACTGCTTTTAAAATCGGTATTTCATTCTTGATTTTTTTCATTTTCACTGGACAAGATACCAGGTCGATAGGGGTGGACTCGAAGTTGATAAAAATGTATTAACTCCAACTCCATCTATTAATGAATAAGTTCAACTCTAATTCTACTCCAATTCCTCTGGCAAAAAGAGCTAACTCCGGAGTTGCAGTTCCCCATTTCTGATTAACCACTTAAAATTTATCGGCGTCAATTGATATTCCTACTAGATAAGTGCGTCATTGAAAAACATATCAAACTATTTTTATCAGGTTTGTTTTTTACTTTTCAGTATTATACATTTGTCCTTTGTATATAAAAATCTGATGTTCAAACCTAGTTTATAATTTAACCCAATAAAAGACACCTGATACAATTATTTTAATATTGAAAATGTATTTTCCAATAATGCACTCTTCTACTAATAACAGTTATTGAATGAAAAAATTCCCAGTCAGACCTTGGACGTTAATTTTGAGTATCTGTTCAACTTTGAGTATTCGAAAAAAATAGCAAAACCAAAACGGATCCAAAACTTATCAAACACTCTTTACAAACATGACTTTCTCAGGAGAAACATCAAGACGCCTTTTTCTCCTATATTGTGAAGACGAAATCATTTTCAAATCAACCGTTTTCATGAAACATCGATCTAAAACACATATCAAAGCAAAAATTTTATTAAGATAACAGCCCGTTTTCACGGAAATTTTGCAATGCTTTTAGGAAATGATTGATTTTAAAATGGTTTCGTCGTATATAATAGTGGAGGAAAAGACGCTCCAATACCACTTCTTTCGACTGGTAATACTCTAGCTCTTTCTATTCTTGAGTTATTGCAAAAGTGGTCACAGTCACTATTTCATTTAACAGGTAATGATAAATGCAGAACTCTTCGTTTAATGACTATTTCAGGGAATGAACTCTATTGATTATGTACAAGCAACAGACCTACTAAGAGTAGCATTAAACAATCCAGAAACCCACTTTCGTGATGGGCAATGGGATGCTATTGATGCGCTGGTGAATCACCGGCAGAAGTTACTGGTTGTACAGCGTACCGGTTGGGGAAAAAGCTTGGTGTACTTTATCAGCGCCCGTATTTTTCGTGACTGGGGCATGGGACCAACGATTATTGTTTCACCTTTACTGGCTTTGATGCGTAACCAAATTGAGTCGGCTAGACGTTTAAACATTAATGCGATGACAATGAACTCGACTAATCGGGATGACTGGCAGGATACGGCACAGCAGCTATTGGCCAATCAAGCTGATTGCTTACTCATTTCTCCCGAACGACTGGCCAACAATGATTTTGTGGTAACCGTGTTACAACCTATCTCCAATCGAATTGCTTTGATGGTGGTGGATGAGGCTCACTGTATCTCAGATTGGGGACATGATTTTCGCCCGGACTACCGTCGTATCGTTAACATTCTACATCAGCTGCCGATCAATACGCCAGTGTTAGGCACCACGGCCACAGCTAATAACAGAGTGATTGAAGATATACGTGCACAGCTAGGAAATGTCCATATTCGGCGTGGATCGCTTATTCGTGAAAGTCTGGCTCTGCAAAATATTGTGTTAAACGATCAGGCGTCTCGATTAGCTTGGTTGGCGCAAACTATTCCAGGGTTATCAGGCACAGGTATTATATATACATTAACCACGCACGATGCTGAGCAGGTTGCCATTTGGCTCAGCCAAAATGGCATACAAACTGCAGCCTACCACGCCAATATTTGCCACCCAGATTTTACTAATAGCAATGCTTACCGTCAGCATCTTGAAGAGTTGTTATTACATAATAGATTAAAAGTATTAGTTGCCACGACGGCATTAGGTATGGGCTATGACAAACCAGACTTAGACTTTGTCATCCACTACCAGACCCCTGGGTCAATCGTCGCCTACTACCAGCAGGTAGGGCGCGCAGGTCGAGCCATCGACAATGCTGTTGGTATACTGATGTGTGGCACGGAAGATGAAGATATTCATGCATATTTCCGCCGCTTGGCTTTTCCTCCGCTGGAGCAGGTTAACGAAATCCTGCAGGCATTGACACAGAACAATGGGTTGACGCTGCGTGAAATAGAGACACATACAAATCTTCGCTACGGGCAAATAGAGAAAGTTTTGAAGCTGTTGAGCGTGGAAAGTCCGGCTCCCATAAAAAAAGTCGGAAATCAATGGCATAGAACAGCCGTCGCTTTCCATATGCACCAACAACGTATGGCCCATCTGACGCAGCAGCGAGAGCAGGAGTGGGCGGAGATTCTGCAGTATGTCACCAGCCAATCCTGTTTAATGAGATACCTGTGCAATGCACTGGATGATACAGATCAAACAGCCTGTGGAAAATGTGCGTCTTGCGTGAAAAAACCGATCGTTGATACGCAGACCGACCCGCTGATGGTGCATCGAGCCGCCATTTTTCTGCGACACGCAGAAGTACCTATTATCCCAAATAAGCAGGTCGCAGCTAAGGCGTTTATTGAGTATGGATTCAGGGGAAATCTACGTGCTCATCTACAAGCTCAGGAAGGACGAGTATTATCACGCTGGGGCGACGATGGCTGGGGTAAAACGGTTGCTCATGATAAGCGTGATAAACACTTCCGAAGTGAACTGGTTGATGCCGTGGTCGAAATGATTACGAAGCGCTGGAAGCCGCACAATTTTCCGACCTGGGTTTGCTGCGTACCATCGCTTAATCATCCGGATTTGGTTCCTGACTTCGCCAGGCGTTTAGCCACAAAACTCGGTCTGCCATTTGTCGATGCTGTTCATAAAATACGTGCCAACCAGCCACAAAAGGAACAGCAAAATCGCTTTCATCAATGCCGAAATCTTGATGGAGTGTTTCGTATCACTCAACTTGTGTCTACAGGTAGCGTGCTGCTGGTTGATGATATAGTTGACTCTGGCTGGACGTTAACAGTTATTGCAGCGCTGCTGTTAAAGGCTGGAAGTGGCCCTGTTTATCCCGTCGCACTGGCCTCAACCTCGGTAAAAGAGTAATGCACTTTTCTAATACAACACGAGCAATTTTATTGCTGAGAAGTTATTTCACGAAAATGATAATGCATAAAGAACGCTCGGGAAGAAGAGGAGGGAATCAGGGAAAAACAGACATTTCTGGACGGAGGGGAGTGTGGGTGTGTGGGTGTGGGTGTGGGTGTGGTTGTGAGTTTATTTCTTATTTCATTTCTCGCATATCCTCACCCACACTCACACCCACATCCACACCCTCGAATAATTAATATTCAACATGATAATAATTCATTTATTAATATTCAATTAAAATTATGTAGTCAAAATGAACAAGATTTAAATATATTAAAACTATCGGATCAATTTGATTTTATTTCATTTGGTCTATTAATAATTGATAGAAAAAAATTTGATCAAGCTCAAATATATTATAATTATTTAATTCCTCAAATGCCTGATGATAATGCTGATATTACTATATGTTATGACGCACTTGGATATATTCTATCAGAAACACATCAATATAGTTCAAGTTTACAATGGTATGAAAAATCACTTGTAATTAAAAAGAAATTATTTGATCCCAATGATCTACATATAGTATCTAGGCATAATTCAATTGCTTCACTGCTTCTTACTAATAATGATTATAATCGAGCATTAGAATCTTATGAAAAAGCATTTCAAATTCTTCAACGAAAATATGGCGATGATCATCCACGTCTAGCAGAATACTATAATAATATGGCAATGGTTCGTAAAAATCAACAACAATATCGAGAAGCTCTTAATTTATATAATAAAGCATTATCTATTTATGAAAAAACATAATGTTGATAATAATATTAATTTAGTTTGTCTTATGATAATGTTAGTTTAGTTTATCATCATCTAACTGAATATGATCTTGCATAAGAATATTGTAATCGATCATTAAAAACTTATGAAAGTATTCTTCCACTTAAACATTCACTTATTTCAATGACATTGGAAAATATTGCAAATATTTATTACGATAAAGGAGATTTTCGTCAAGCACTTAAATATTATGAGAAAGCAGCTAAGATTTATTATCATGTTTTACAAATTCGAATGATTATTAAAAATATTCAAGCAAAAATCTAAATTGGATCTATTCGATTCGTTTTTAATGGCTAACAATCAATTGAATTTATCTCGACAAACGTTAAGAATATTTGAAATTAAATGCTTGATGAATAAAATCTAAAAGAAAACAAAACTCATCCAAAGGGCGACAACGCATAAGCGAACAGATCGACTCATTATAACGGGGAAATAGATGAAATCAAATTTTTTTTTAAGATGGATTAACTCTTTTTATTGAAGTTTATTCCTAAGAACGTGGATGTTCTCTACAACAATAGCGAGACCTAGACATCCGCACTCATATGCAGTATTCATAAACACTTCTTCTATTAATAGTTGAGTTTGAGTCGAGTGTAGCTGAATTTAAACATGAGAACTGCATACTTCCTCGCAAGTGCCGTTCCTCGGTTCCACTGTTGCTCATCACAAATGACACTATAGTCAAAACTATGCTCCCTTTATCTACTTAGGAAAAATCTCCATCAAATATTGATACACGATGAAAGATCATTTACAGACATTTGTAAAACTATATCGATGTTATAAATTTACCCTCGGCTGTTTCGTCATTGAAATCTCACAAACGTATTTTATGCTAAGTGCAGCGAAGTTTTCATTGGATTCAAGTTAATAGGATATTGTCTGGAGCTTCATGAATCCTATATTTGTATTGGTGTTCAACTAGATATTTCTATCCTGTTTTTCCATATATCTGAAAGACGATTCATATAAAACGAAAAAAATAAGGACAAAGAAGGATCGTTGCGAAGTCTGGAAATTATCGTACATCACATCTCTTGGCAAAATATATTGAACACTATTCAAAACTCTTTCGTACAAAAATACGAGAAAACAACTAATTATAAATTATACGTTTTTCAATATTCTTCTCTCATTTTTCAAGAATCTCCAACATGTATACTGCTAGCACAGAAAGAAATCTTTCGAATTTATTTGAATAAGATCTCAATAGGACTGCACACCTTTTCTTTTCCACAATTTTGCCAATTGAACAACGAAAAAACTTAGAAAGTCAATACTAGATTCGATAAATCTTTGTTAGCTCATAGGAAACGAAGAACATTTTAAGCATCAAGATTTTTTGAACAGATGCACCCTTCAATTTGACGCCTGATATATTGCCATCAAACGACTTTCCCTAGTGCAAAGTCTAGTGGGATAGGCAAACGTTTTTAATTAATACGGTCATTTCCAGTTCAAGATAATTTCTCTTTAAAAACGACGTCTTAATAATCAATATGAAAAGGTCTGTTATTTCAAATGAAAATCATTCATTGACATCTATCAACATGGTGAGCCCACTTGATCAACATTAACTTCTCGTCGTCGCCATCGTTTAAGATGAATTTCGAATAGAACATAAATTAGTTGATGACGAAATCGTTCGGATGCACTGAGATAAATATAGAATGGACTCTAAAAATACGTGAGGAAAAAAAAACATTTTCAGACCGTCTGATCAGTGAACAATACTCACCACATAATTTAGATAATACAAATAGATAGTTATAATATTGGTAAATTGAAGTTGTGCGATAATAATTGGATCCTTCGGGAGAATGGGACTGTAAATGATAGCAGTAACAATCGTATACGGTATTGTTGCAAAGAAATTGTGAACAACTTGGGCAAGAACCATTGTTGTCAATTGTTTGTCCAATTCACGACGAACCAATGGCAAAGCTCGATGAGCCAATTGTTGGACATTACGATATGCCAAACATCCGAAGAGGACGGTAGTAATTACTGGTACAGCACCGGCAAGAGATATTATATAAACATAAATATGATATTGAAGAAAAGCAGCATTGATACTTGTACAAATTATTTTATGTGTTATAGATTGTTCAATTAAATTAAAATAAATCATATAAGGAATTCCAAGAAGAACCCAAAAAATGATCACTGCTACGGACAGACGATGGGCAAGTTTGATGTTGCTCCATTGTTGCCAACCAGGACGAGAACAAGTAACCAAATATTGATCAATGGTCGCCAAAGAAATCATTGTGAAAGAGATCAAGACACTAAAGTAAAGACAATACCATCTGAAGGCACAATAGAATGGAGAACTCAATGTCCAGTCGATACCGAAACCGGTAATCAGTATGCGAGAGAGTAGACCAGTGAATAAATTTCCAACATTGAAAATTGACATGATAAGCAAATAGAATGCACATGAACTTTCGCGAAAAGTGTGCAGACTGAGAAAAACAACGATCGTCAGAAGTCCACCAATTACACCGGCGATGAACATCAAAATTCCCAAATATATAGCCAATTGCTGTGATAAGAAGCCAAGAAATGAAATAATCCATGCGACCATCTTTGTTTTGAATTTGCACACTAATCCGTCACAATTGTTATTCTATTTTAACGAGAGAGCATCAGCATGAAACGAGAGAAATAAAGAAATGACGACTCTCGAATTCATTTTTTTTAGAATTATCGGATGTGCGTGATATGAACGTCGGAGAAAATGACAAAAAAATAGGGTTTAATTGATAATTACTAAACAACACAATGATACAAAGAAATGACGGATATTTAAAAGAAGAAAGTTGTCCTCATTATTTTTGATAAAATAAACGAACAACTACTTTGCTTTGATGATATGAAGCTCGTTTCTATTTACAATGATGGCAAAAATTATTCATACGATTTTGTTTTATTCATAACTCAACAATAACGAATAGATATTTTGAAAAACAGAAGACACCAAAAGAACCAC